TAAATACTTGCTTAAGAAAGTAATATAACAGTAACAAAACTGGAGTATTGAGAAAAATAATGAATATGAGACAATCTGTGATAAAGGATTGGTTCAACAAAAATTGAAAGCACTTCTAACATTCTGTACAATACTAGGTTAAGAAAATAAATTATCTAAATAAAAAGAAATTAGCAAGAAACTTGAAGTATATTTAAATATAACAAAGAATAGCAAAGTTGTATCCAACTAGAAGTAGTAATATGAAATAGAATACACAAAATATCAATATTAATAAATATCAAAAGGAGTTGAAATAATCTTAATTTGAAAATAACTCTGCCACAAAAAAACTTGATTAGAAGTTTTAATATCCAATTTTGTAATATATCAATTGGGAGTACCTATTAGTAAGACTTGTATACATATGACTAATATTATATAAAACTATAATACTAATATTGGAAGTAACTGTGAGACTATGATTGTCAGATGCTTTTTAATAAGATTTGTAATGGATATTGCACTGAGTATTAAGCTGAAAGTATGATGTTTTTAGTATGAAAAATATGAAAAATCTATAGATAAAAAATTGATTAACAAAAATAATATACAAAAATTTAGATTAGACATATAAGGCTCTGGTAAGTTTAGATTACAGATAAAGTAGTTTAAGTCTAATATTCTGAGATTAGTCAATCAATAAGTATATAAGTAAGCAATAAGATTGTATAGTAGTGTACAGATTTATGATTTAATAAAGATATATGTGATACAATCTTACCTTAACATTAAAAAAAAATATATTTTTGTAGTTATATAGTTACTATAGCTATAATTAAATATTATTACTAAATCCCTAGCTATAGAATTAAATTAAGGTTAAATTAGAGTTAGAATTAAATATAACAGGATTACCTTAGTAAAATTTTAAAATATCATAAATTTATAAATATAGTTATAAAAAACAGCTACAAATAATTGTTCTTTTTTATATGAATTTTTATTTTTGTATTTTTTAATTATAGTTTTTTTTTGTCTATAACTATTATTAAACAGTAATAGTGTCACCACCTTTAATTTTATTAAAATTTAGGGTTAGAGTACAATTTTTTAAAAAAATAAGAGTTTGATATAAAGATTCAAATTTTAGTTAGAGTTAAATTTTTGGGATCCTAAACATTTTTGTTTAGTACTCCTGATATGAGTTAGCTAGTAGGTTTTTGAGATACAATACTCTGGGTAATATCACCATAGAGGCAAGTTAACAAGTCTTTTTTTTACTTTTTTTAAAAAAATATTATTAATTTGATAACATCCTATTATAAAGCAATAATTTAAATTAGTTTTTAAAATTTTGATATTATCTAATATGAAAATTATATATAAGTACTAAAAGCCTTAAGTTAAAAGCAGCTACATTATATCGAGCTTATAGATTAGAATATATTTTTTTTATTATTAGAATTTACTTTAATATATAAATACAGTATATTTGTTTAATAAAGTTACTAATAAGATTGCTTAAGTACATAAAAAACAAAATGTTTACGTATTAAATAAAAATTATTATAAATATATACTTATCAAATTGTAGCGATATGTTTGATTTTTTTCACGCAATTTGATTGATCGATCGATCATTACGGGTAATCACGAGTAGATCTCTAAAAATCTTTCACTTCAAAAACATAAAACGCCAAAAACATAGTGATTTCGTACTAAATATATCTATTGACAAACATCGGTTCTAATTAAAGTTGGTGGAAACATCCGATCTTATTCGATCTCAAACACTTATATAATCTCGCCAAATATCAAAATTTTTTTTGCTATTTACCGTTACAGGTTCAATTTTCTATTGTAAACAATATAAAAAATTTGCGTATCATTGTTTTTAATAGAACTAAACAACCGATGAAAATAAATTTTCTCTTGTTTGGCAGCATTACTTGAATGTAAGCTAAGTTTATGGCGCAGCAAAAATTCTTTAATGTTAAAGTTAGGGTTAGGGCTAGGGTTATAGATTAGAAAAAAAAGTAGATTATATAGTAAAATTGCTCAACAAAAACTTTTTATTAGAGTACCAAAAGTGGATTCCTATGTAGAAGTTCGAGAAATAAGCGATTTTTAACAAAGCAGACGTTTGTTTTAAAATTTCTTGATCATATTACGTTGCACCTGATCTTGAAATCTGATTCGTAGTTCAAGGGGTGCTGTGGTGTTAGGCAATTCACATCAGCCGACCGTAACCCATAATTCGGATATCTATCATCCGGGTAATCCCAGAGATTACCCACGGGTGACCCGGATTAAGATTTTTACATGGACACAAAGGTTAGATTGGGTCACGATCGCCTGATAGTGAATTTTTTTCTGTTCGCATAACGACATCAAATAATTGCTAATAAAGTCTTTATTGTGAATAATATTTTTTAATAGTCTTTATTGTGAAAAAAACTGGTTTAACGGGATTTATCACGAGCCGTAAGGGTTTGCACAAGGCTTTGACGCATGGTTCTTAAAGTATCGTATGATTAGCCCATTGATTCATTGATTACATCATCATCGATCAACGTTAATCAACGTTAGTATGTAACCAATGAAGATAAAATATAGTATGCAATTATTTATGCACTTCTAAAAATGGGATAATTATATTAACTGTTGGGTTAAAAGACATTATAACGATAAAACGAGTTCATTAAAAAACGTGTTATCAAAATAAGACCCGTACGATACTAGTGCAGATGTCCGGTATGATAAGATTAATTAGGAAACGCCATCAATAATTTTCCTAAAGAAATTTATCTTTATAATAAAAATTATAAAAAACGCCTTGATCGCCTTTCTAAAATTAGAATCGTGGTTATCCTTGCTTTTAATAAGGTAACGATATGAAAGATAGCACAATACACTAATACTCATATAATACGAAAAACATTTTTTGATCATGAAATTCAGGCTAAAAATTCCGTTTAAAACTTTTTCTAAACAAGTCAGACAGGATTTTCACTTGAATATTGCCGTTGTAGCGATATCTGAATACAAAGATTTCCTTAAATCTCTTTAAGTGCACGGCCCCAGCCTATAGTAGTATTATACATTTTGCACACTCTAAGTGTGATTTTTTTTACTATGATCTCAAGAGGATGCATTTGTATTTAATAACAATGGTAATAATATAAATTCATTTATAATGAATGAGTTTTACTCTGATCATTAATAATCGGTTCTAATACTAACCGTTAACATTTAAAACAACGGATTTTATTTATTTATTTAATTTTAAAACAACGAATTTTATTTATTTATTTAATTTATTTTAAAACATAATTATAAATCGTATATGTATAATTAAATTTAATCACATTAAAACACAAGTAAATCATTTTGAATTTAAGTGATTTACAAATTCATTTTGTGGATCTTTTTACTCTTTTATGACTTAATGACAAACTTTTTTATTGAATAGATATCTATTCAAAAATCAAATGTAAAAGTGGGCTGTTTCAATATGTAACACCTCATATATTCTCAAATATTCTCAAATATTCTCAAAAAACCTAAAAGAGATGTATATAGACGTATTTGTATGTACTAGTTTTTATTACTGTATTAGTGATGTATTATACTGTAAGCTACTGTAAGCTACTGTAAGCTACGTAAACTGACGAAATTATACGTATTTTATGATCTCATCATCATCATCAACGTAAAAAATAAAATTTTTAAATCGGCGATTAAAATTATTATTGATATAAGTAATAACGATAATTTATTCGAATGATTATTTTGACATTATTTCACAATATATTTAAACGTTATTATTGCGACCTGTTAGGATTTATTCCGAGAGTACGATATTGATTACTTAAACTTCGTTCACATGTATATATACCAAAAACCTGTCAAGAACTGGTCTAAATTTGGGAACGTATGGATGCGCCACAGGGTTTCAAGAGATCACGCAAGCATGGCATCAACAAGTCAAGTTTTAAAACTTCCTCCTTTCGTAAAAATTTGGTTTCATAAAATTCGCAATATGTTTTAATATTTTTACATTATTTATTACGAGTCTAAGTATCAAAGATAATCAATTTAAAATATATAATTTAAGTTATTGATATATCTGGGGTTTTGGGGCAATGACGCATATTTAAATTTTTGCATCTGTGTCGAAATAAAAAAAATCTCTCGTGTCACGATCGTCAGATCGCGCTGAAAATTCTCCAAGTTTGGGAATCTTCGGATACCTCTTGAATTTAGCCTCATGAAAGATAGGATTTTGTCATTCATGTTTTCAAAATATAAAAAGATCAGTTTCTTCCCAATCTACAAATTTAATCTCGTCACAAAAAAACAGCCTTTTCTGAAATCAAATCAAGATACCAATAAATAAATAAAATTCAAATAAAAAAATTTACCCAAATGTCCACCACACAAACCCATCCATCCCCAAATGTACATCCTAAATTGGGTAAAAAAGAAGGTTCCAAAGAATCAGAAGCTTGGTGGGCAAATGGCGTTTTCGTCATCCTCGTCCATTTGATATCTGCAATTTCACTTCTGACTTATCAACCAACTGCGAAGACGATATGGTTAACTCTACTCTTCTTTCAATTAGGAACATTTGGGTTTTTATCCTATTTTTTTTTTTTTTTTTTTTTATATATATATATATATATTTATATATATCTAAATTTATTATGAAAATTTATAATCATATTAATTTCATTACAGCATAACCGTAGGTTACCATAGGCTATGGAGTCATAGAACATTTACTGCTCGTTTACCATTTCGCTTTATTCTTGGAATAATGGGTACACTTGCCTTCCAAGGTTCAATAAAATGGTGGGTTCTTAGACACAGATTACATCACAGGTAAGAATTTATTGCCCTTGTAAACATGAATTTGAATTTGATAGAATACAAAATTAATTATTTTAATTCATGTTAGATTCACCGATACGGAACATGATCCTTATTCTGCTGCTAAAGGTTTCTGGTTTTCCCATATGGGTTGGATTTTTGCAAAACCATATTATCCACGATTAAAACTCATTGATGCCACGGACCTGAATGCCGATCCAATCGTCGTATTCCAGCATAAAAATTATGTAATTTTGGCTTTATCCACTGGTATAATCCTTCCTACCTGTATCGCTGCTACTTGGGGTGACGCTCTCGGTGGTTTCCTGTACGCTGGCCTTGTCTGTCGTATTTTGGTTTGGCATGCTACCTTCTGTATAAATAGCTTTGCTCATTGGGCTGGTGATCAACTTTATTCTAATGAAATATCGGCACGTGGCAATTTATTGCTTGCTATAATGACTAATGGTGAAGGATATCATAACTTCGTAAGTTATTATTATTATTTTTTTTTATTTATTTATTTATTTTATTTTATTGTTTTTTTTTTTATTTTATTTTATTATTTTATTTTATTTTTTTTATTTATTTATTTATTTATTTTTTTTATTTTATCTTATTTTTATTTTATTTTTTTATTTACTTATTATTTTTTTTTATTCATTTGAATTTGAATTTAACATGAATATATCTTTATCACGTTAAATCATCTATTTCAGCATCATGAATTTCCCAAAGATTATCGTAATGGTTACAGATTATCCGATTATGATCCTTCTAAATGGTTAATCTGGTTTTTCCATACTTGCACTAATCAAATACCATCCGTCGTCAGAGCTCCAGATAATGAAATTCGAAAAGCTCGTTCAAACATGAAATTGCTTGAAGCTCAACGTGAACGTGAAGGATGCGACTGGGGTGTCGATTCGAATACTCTTCCAATCATGACTTATGATGAATTTAAAGAAAAAGTAAAAAATGAAGGAAAAGAATGGTTATTAATTGATGATCTTGTATTAAATGTTGAAAATTTTAAACCTTCACATCCTGGTGGATCTAAGTTATTAGAATCTTATTATGGAAAAGATGCTACAAGAGCTTTCCATGGTGGGTTAAATAATCATACAAAGGCTGCGAAAACTATGTTGGCTATGCTTAAGGTTGCCAGGATTAGTAAAAGTGAAACTGAGTTGTAGTTTTTATTTTTTGTTACATATATAAAAAAAAAAATTTGATATATAGTTGTTATTCTAGTTATTTTAGTCATTGATTGACCATACTTATTAACGTTGTGCGTCAAATTTAAATACCGAGTTTCATTAGGATTATGTAATTATATTTATTCATTCTTTTACGTATTCTTACACACTTATTTTTTATTCTTAAATATAAATTTCGTGAGAAGAATTCCATTACCATATAATTTATGTAGTTAAAATATTTTTGTGATCATATTATTTCATTTATAAAAAATCAAGTTGCATTATTTTTAAAGGAGATAATCCGAATCTGAAAGTAGAGAAACCGATTGAGGTTCACAAATGGTTTATTTTGTAGATAATCAGTCAACCACACGACTTTGCGTCTTCTGCTTTAAAGTTAATCTATTAATTGAAGCATTGACCAGTTTAAACGGGCACGGTGGCTTTTCGTTACACACCCAATATAATTACTGCATAAAGTTTGTAACCAAATATGGATTAATCCATGCTAGACGTATAATGCAGATCGATATCCCTACAAGATCGTGGCATCCTGATCAGGAAAATAAACAAGTTACCGTAAAACGCCGTATAAGGTACCCGGGTGCCTTACAATTCACATGATAAAAATTTGATTTGTACCCCCCGGGTACCTTGTATGGAAGAGGGTATATTATATGGGGGGTATCTTGTGAAAAACATATATTAGCCCATTAGTAAAAAAAGATTTTCATTATTAAA